TGTGTGTGTAGTGCTCCAGGAGGTCTTTATGGAGTAGTGTAAAGGTAGAAACAGACACTTGAAGGCAGCCACATCATCTGAAGCGCTTCACCAGCTCTGAAATAACAGATTTAATATAGATATTAGTATATTTAAAGGAGTAGTCCAAAAATGGAAATTTGCTGAGAACAGGCCACCCAGTATGTAGGTGAGTTTTTTCATGGGAACAGATTTGGAGAAATGTAGCATTGTATCACTTGCTCAGCAGTGGATCCTCTGCAGTGAATGGGTGCCGTCAGAATGGGAGTCCAAACAGCTGATAAAAACATCCACAAGTAATCCACACCACTCCAGTCCATCAGTTAATGCCTTGTGAAGTGAAAAACCGCATGTTCGTAAGAAACAAATCCACCTATAAGGAGTTTCAACTTAATTCAAGAAATACAAGTCCATAAGCAAAATATGAGTCCATAATCCATAATGACGCTTCATCAAGTAAAATCCGCTGTCCATCCGCTGTTGTCCTCTCACATCAAAATCCACCAACTTATTTAGAACTGCTTGTAAATGGTACTTGATCTGTGCATATTTCTCTCCTGATTCAGGCAAGATGATTTTTTCACTGGAGGAAACAATATTATGGATTATGGACACACATTTTTGCCAGAAGCAACAGTTTGAAGGTAAAAATGTCTTGATGGATTTGTTTCTTACAAACACACAGCTTGTGGATAGATGAGTTTGTTTATTCATCAGATTTGGAGAAATGTAGCATTACTTCACTTGCTCAGCAGTGGATGCTCTGCAGTGAATGGGTGCCATCAGAATGAGAGTCCAAACAGCTGATAAACACATCACAATAATCCACAAGTAATCCACAAGCTGTGTGTTTGTAAGAAACAAATCCATCAAGACATTTTTACCTTCAAACTGTTGCTTCTGGCAAAAATGTGTGTCCATAATCCATAATATTGTTTCCTCCAGTGAAAAAATCATCTTGCCTGAATCAGGAGAGAAATATGCACAGATCAAGTACCATTTACAAGCAGTTCTAAATAAGTTGGTGGATTTTGATGTGAGAGGACAACAGCGGATGGACAGCGGATTTTACTTGATGAAGCGTCATTATGGATTATGGACTCATATTTTGCGTATGGACTCGTATTTCTTGAATTAAGTTGAAACTCCTTATAGGTGGATTTGTTTCTTACGAACATGCGGTTTTTCACTTCACAAGGCATTAACTGATGGACTGGAGTGGTGTGGATTACTTGTGGATGTTTTTATCAGCTGTTTGGACTCCCATTCTGACGGCACCCATTCACTGCAGAGGATCCACTGCTGAGCAAGTGATGCAATGCTACATTTCTCCAAATCTGTTCCCATGAAAAAACTCACCTACATACTGGGTGGCCTGTTCTCAGCAAATTTCCATTTTTGGACTACTCCTTTAAATATACTAATATCTATATTAAATCTGTTATTTCAGAGCTGGTGAAGCGCTTCAGATGATGTGGCTGCCTTCAAGTGTCTGTTTCTACCTTTACACTACTCCATAAAGACCTCCTGGAGCACTACACACACACAAACACTACTTAGCATAGCAAAGCAAGAAATATTTCTACTGTGTTCATTTTCTTCATATCTGCACAGTTGCTGTCTATTTGTATGAACTGTATTCAGACCGATCGGTGTATGACATCAAAATACCTCGAGAGCATTTTGAAAGCATAAGGAACCGTCTGTATGGTATTTTGATGTCATACACCGATCGGTCTGCACACGCAAACAAAGCCAAAACCTAGATATTTTAGGCAATATAGAAATCCTGGCCAGGACGCGTCCTGGGAAAATGGCACGTATGGTCACCCTATAATATGTTGACTATGCTGAATTAACACTGTATGGTAAAAACCCATAACACATCCCATGTTTTGAAAGCTATTTTATGTACCAAACACTATTTTATTTGTAATGCGTATTTTATAAAACAAAAAGACTTCCTTAAAGATTGTATGAAGTTTTCCCTGGTTTATGTGACTATTAGAGTATTTTTCCTATCAGAAATTACATGACATTTATCTACTATAGTCTTTTACTAATTTATGGCCAGCAGGATTTGGTTTGAAGGTCATTTGTAAGCATGCTTTGTGTCCTCAACAGAGCACATGTTGGACGTCTTCCTTTATCTGACGCTTATTTGAGGTCTTGGGAGTCTCGATTAATGTATCTTTGAGTTGAATCAGGTGTGTCTGATGAGTTAGACATACAATATGTGCAGTGTTGAGGAAACCCTGATCACCTACTGAATGAACAGGTTACATTTGAACCTTTTTTTCTCGTTTCATTGACTTTTTGCTAAACTTACTTTTAAAATAAAGTGTTATTGATCATTAATTGGTTGTCTTTTGTTGAATGGGCTTTAAAATGCATATTGAAGTGTGTTTTGTATCTGATATGAGGTCTGTGCTCACAGCTGCTGTTACATAGACTGAAGCTCTCAATCACTGATGAGATGAAGATGAAAGAAACCTGCAGATGAAATGCTTGATTAAATGAACTGAAGTCACTTGTGATCTCAGTTTGCTCTGTAACAGTCTATATGAACTTTCGTTTCTAATCTGCCTTCTGAGAGAACACCTTTTTTGCTCTTGTAAGACATACTGTATATACGTTATAATATTTGCATATTCATATATATTTAGGAATTAAATTGATGTAGAAATACATTTTTATGCTATAAATTTAATAATTGCACAAAAAAGGACAAAAACCAAGCTGGTTTGCTTTGTTGCTGAAGAAATTGACCAGTTCTTTCGCAAGTCAGATTTTCACAGTCGCTGCCTTTTAAGTTTTATACACTGTAAAAGAAAAGCTCTATATTGCATTACATGCCAGCGTTTTAAGTTGCAGTGATTTTTAATGTCATGCTGATGTTACAGTATCTGCAGGGTCTGGGCTTATGGCGCACAAATGGGTTGCAAGATCCCCAGCATGCCATAAGAGAGCTCAGGACTGCTCAGGTAACTGATCACACACACTGACAGCATGCGAGGCAGACCATGCACAGATTGAGTTTGTGTTTCTCTGTGTGTCTCAGAGATGCTGAACTCTGTGATTCTGATGTAAGCACTCAGCTTCTCTCACAGGATCTTCAGAGGGGAGTGCAGAGACCTCACCAACTCATTACAGGTGCAGTTCAGTTCAGGTGAAGCTCACAAAACCTGTCATCAACCCATCAGCATCTTTACATTTTGCATTAAGCTTTGACATTACTTTCATTTTAGGTGCTTATTTTATTTCTCCAGTTCTCATCACTATATATCACACTTTTTTTTGTAATGCCTTTACTGTATTTATTTTACTGCCTTTTAATTTATATTAAATTATATATAGGGATTCCAAAATAAATAATATTCTAATTAAAATTAAATATTGTTGTTTTATTATTATATTACTTCATAATTAACACATTTGAGATTATATATTAGATTTTGAGACCTCCTGGAAAAAGAGAATGTACATCTCAAGGGGTTTGTCACAATGTATATAAATATTCCTAATTATTATTTAATTGTCATGATTATGTATATATTCATACATCTAATCATATTTTATTAATAAATTGTTGGGACCTCCTCAAAACCACATAGTACATCTCAAGGGGTATGTCACAAACAATATATAAATAATATTCCTATTTAATATTTGTTATGATTATACATTCATATTAATATTTTCTTATTATTTTAGTATCCCTTGAAAAAAAGTATATATATATATATATATATATATATATATATATATATATATATATATAGGGCAGGGATCTCCAACCTTGCTCCTGGAGAGCTACCGTCCTGCAATTTTTAGGCAAGGCAAAAATTATTTATATAAAACATTTTATACACAATGGTAATTCAAAGTGCCTTACATATAAAAGGATTTAAAATAATCATTAAAGAAAAAATAATAATAATCACAACAATAAAAACAAGGAATTTAAAAATGTTTTAAAAATTGATTTAAAATGAATGAAAACAATTAAGAATAAAAATGATTATACATAAAATATAGCGCAATCAGTTCAGACATCGCACAGCTAAACAGATGAGTTTTGAGTATATATTTAAATGTGACTAATGTTTTAGCACATCAATCATTTATTATCTTTTTGATGTCTTTGTGCTGTGGTGCGGTCGGAAACCAAATTGAAACTTGTCCAGTTATCCATTTGAGTTTAAGTAGTTGTTCAGCTGATTAAAAACCACCTTTTCAATTATCTTACCTATAAAAGGAAGATTTGATATTGATCTATAGTTGCTCAATATGGTGTTATTAAGATTGCTCTTTTTCAGGAGGGGCTCCTGACTTTTACAGGAGCAATGTCATCAATAACATTCTTAACTTTTGAGTTAAAGGAATCCAAGAGAAGATCAACAGTCTGCAGAAATGCTTGGTGTTAAAGATTTAGCCTTCATAAATAGCACACTAGTGTTTTCGTTAATGCATCTCTTTCTGACAGAGACAGATCTAGATTCAGTGGTAACAGAGATCAATATATCAAAGAAAATACAGAAGTGATCAGATAGTGCTACAGCCTTAATAACAATGGATGAATTGTTTAGGCCTCTACTGATGATTAAATCTAGAGTATGTCCACGATTGTGTGTGGTTCATGCACATGCTGGATAAGGTCAAAAGTGTTTAAAACGGTTATAATTTCTTTTGTAGTTTTGATTTCTGCATTATCTATGTGAATATTAAAATCCCCTGCAATAGCAAAACAGTCAAACTCTGAGGAAATCATTGATAACAGTTCTGTGAACTCTGCAACAAAGGCTGGAGAGTATTTTGGAGGCCTGTAAGTATTAATAAACAGAATGCGTGGAGTACCTTTCAGCACAATCCCTAGACATTCAAAAGACAAGTACTGACCAAATGACACTTGCTTGCATTGATAGACATCTTTAAATAGAGCAGCTACACCTTCACCTCTCCTAACAGGCCTGCAAACACTCATGAAAGTAAAGTTAGGAGGGGCTGTTTCATTGAGGACTGTTGCACTGCAGCTGTCTTCTAGCCATGTTGCGTTTCGAAACATAGGTTGTTTGTGGTTATCAAGTCATTGATAACCAAATATTTATTTTTTTAGTGAGCGAATGTTTAACTTGATAACCAAATATTTATTTTTTAGTGAGCGAATGTTTAAAAATGCTAACTTTATGGCATTACTTTTTGTCCCCACAGCAATCTTAGTTTGACGCATAATAGGCCGCAGATTAGATGGGTCATTTTAGTTCCAACCCTGCTCCAGTACACCTGCATGTAATTATTAAGTAACCCTAAACACCTTGATTACGTGGCTCAAGGTGTGTTTGATTGGGGATGGAGCTGAAATCTGCCGGACGGTAGCTCTCCAGGAGCAGGGCTGGAGATCAGGTGGCAATTGCTATTTGCGAGTCAAAAAAGAAACTACAATTGTTTGGTAATTAAAATTGTAAACCCTAAAGAATTCAGGAATTGTGGAATTAAATTATTTTAATGTCAAAAATATTTTATTATAGTTGTTGTTATAACAATTCTATTACATATTTAAATTCAAATTCAGAAATTTAAAATGACACTCCCTAGTTTCAGTAAAATAAATTTAAAAATAAGCAGCTTAGTCATTATAGCAAAAATCACTACAAATCACCCAGCTACTTTACAGACCACAAAAGAAGACATTTAGAAGATTTATTAGATATAACATAAAAATAGTCCATCTTTCATATTCATATGCTTGATAACTTAATTTTCCTTTTAGTTTCCACAGGAAAAAAAACAAAGCGTATGGGTTGCAAAAATAATAATGGATTTAATTTGGGGTGAATTACTCCTTTGTAATCATAATTGTCCCCAGCATTTAATCTGCATGTGTGTGTGTTTCAGAGATGTGAGTTTCAGTGGCAGAAGGCATCCTGTTTGAAGTCAGACTTCTTCAGTCTGTCACCTGTCAAGAAAACCTCGCAGTGCAACAGGAGAGAAAAGCACAGCGCTCAACGACCTATGTACACACACACACACACACACACACAACACAGAGATCAGACATGATCAGAGACATGCAACGGCCAGCAGAGCAGCCTGACGCGGCCGATGACACCGCCGCCGCCGCCGCGCTCCTGGAGTCTCCAAGCGGCCCGACGCGAGCGCACGGGACCCTGACGACGGAGAAAAGAGACCCGGAACGCGGCAAAAGCACCCGCAGCAGCCCATCCGAGAAGAAGTTCTGCAGCTTCTGCAAACACAACGGAGAGACCGAAGCCGTGTTCACCTCACACTACTTAAAAGACCGCGCAGGAGCCGTGATGTGCCCGTACTTGAGCCAGTACGAGTGTCCCCTGTGCGGAGCCACCGGGGCCAAAGCGCACACCAAGAGATTCTGCCCGCTCGTGGACAAAACCTACAGCTCCGTGTACGCCAAGACAACATGGTGAACCGGCCGTTTCTGACCCGTAAAAGATCTGGCCACGGTATACGAGGACATTTTTACGAGTGGTTTTAATATTTAAGTTTTAAACTTTAATCGTTCAATCCATAATGGCTTGTGTGAGTTTGCATGCATGTGTGCTTTTTGGTGTTTGGTTTTGCACGCTTTTTAGTGTCTTCCTCTTGTGTGCAGTGGTGGTGTTTTTTCACTCTTTTTGTTTTGTCTTTGAACAAACTTGTACACAAGCCAATAGGCTCGCTACAGGTGCAACCACGTGTGAACTAGCTTTCTTTAATTTTACTAAAAAAAAAGTATTTTGTGATACTCTATGGTGAAATATATAAATGCTTTTAATGTTATTTGGGTGCGTTTCTCTTTAAAGCTGCCTATATTTTGCATTAATATATAACTACCTCAATCTTCTGTTTGTATTTCTCTATTTTCACTGCATTTTGGAGAACATGATCATCAGGTTTTGTTCACGTGGCATCAGGAAGTTCATGTACATTTGTTTAAAAATATGATGGTTTACTTTGTGACAAAAGCAAGAAAATGAACAACAGAAACGTGTTCAGTGAACTTTTGGAAACCTATGTGTTCATATCACAGCACGTCAGCTGAAATTGGTTCAGTTTGACTTTTTTTTTTTTTTTTTTTTTTTTTTTTTTTTTTTTTTTTTTTTTTTTTGAGATGTGTAGTTTTACAAAACATGATTTCACTGAATCAAACGTGCACAGCAACAACCAGAAAGATTCATTTTATTTATGCAGAATGTGTTTTGAACAGGAATTTGGACCGATTTATGACTGGAACTTTGAAGACCTGTTGCTAAGGTTACGACCCTTCAGTCTTGGGGGTCACACCCTGTGATTGACAGAATTACAATGTTTACTACTTTGCTTGAACCTCCTAGGAAAAGTGTTAACTTTGGCTTACTAAAACAACAACTCTAAGCATGTTGTGCCTTTGCTCGAACAAGTGTAACCGAACAGTTGTAAACCAGTGCCTGCTGTCTGAACTCATCAGTGCAAATTATTCCATGTTCTTTTTTTTTTTCTGTCCATTATATCATGCAGTAAAATATGTTCAGAATCTGTTGGTATTATGCCTATATTTCTGAGTGTGGAGCGGAGGTTTTCTGCCTTGTTGCCCAAATCCAATCTGCCTGCGTGCGTCCATCAATAACTGACTGCAAGAAAACATCGAAATTACTGTTTATGGTCAAAACTGTTCTTTACCGTGTTATTCAATAATAAACTTAATAGTGTAAACCACAAAATCAGAATTGTGTTTAAGTGCTCAAAACAAATCCTGACTGACTTCAGAGAGGCAATATCTCGGATTAGGCCACATACAAGCTCTGTGGCATCTTCCAGATCACAGGAGGCTTCTGAGATGGGGAGATCCTCCAAACTGAGCAAAATATAAACCATGAAAATGGACAAAAACACCTTGCGCTGTGCATTAATGTTGTGGACGGTAAAGTCTGAAATTTAACCAACTTCTAGAAACATTCAAAGTCAATGGCTTTCACACTTGTCTCACCTCAGAGGGATGTTGTTGAGCTGGGAATCTGTCACCGAGTGCATGGATAAAGGGCTGGAGGGATCCGGTTCAGCGGCAGGACTCCGAAGAGGCTCATGAGTATCTCTCAGTAAACTTACTCGCTCTGTAAACGACTGAGGATACAACTCCGTTTTAGTAACTTAATGCTGACTTTAAAGGACATGTGAGAGTTTTGGATACCAAAACCTACACTGTAAATGTAAAACTAAAGTCAAATAAAAAACCACCAAGTAGTGGTTTAGGCATTTCAAAGGAATATTACACATCAATGACACAGGTTTGATGGCAACCAACACTGATTTCTGTGTCAATTAACACTTTATATTCTGGCCTTTTTCTCACCCAAAGCTATCTTAGAAGTCCTATGGACTACTTTTATTGTGGCTTTTATGACTTTTCTAGATCTTAAAAGCACTTCAGAGAACATTCTGCAGTATATCTTCTTGAAATATGGCTTTGGAATGACTACTGTTTTTTATAAACTTAATAGTGTAAACCACAAAATCAGAATTGTGTTTAAGTGCTCAAAACAAATCCTGACTGACTTCAGAGAGGCAATATCTCTGATTAGGCCACATACAAGCTCTGTGGCATCTTCCAGATCACAGGAGGCTTCTGAGATGGGGAGATCCTCCAAACTGAGCAAAATATAAACCATGAAAATGGACAAAAACACCTTGCGCTGTGCATTAATGTTGTGGACGGTAAAGTCTGAAATTTAACCAACTTCTAGAAACATTCAAAGTCAATGGCTTTCACACTTGTCTCACCTCAGAGGGATGTTGTTGAGCTGGGAATCTGTCACCGAGTGCATGGATAAAGGACTGGAGGGATCCGGTTCAGCGGCAGGACTCCGAAGAGGCTCATGAGCATCTCTCAGTAAACTTACTCGCTCTGTAAACGACTGAGGATACAACTCCGTTTTAGTAACTTAATGCTGACTTTAAAGGACATGTGAGAGTTTTGGATACCAAAACCTACACTGTAAATTTAAAACTAAAGTCAAATAAAAAAACACCAAGTAGTGGTTTAGGCATTTCAAAGGAATATTACACATCAATGACACAGGTTTGATGGCAACCAACACTGATTTCTGTGTCAATTAACACTTTATATTCTGGCCTTTTTCTCACCCAAAGCTATCTTAGAAGTCCTATGGACTACTTTTATTGTGGCTTTTATGACTTTTCTAGATCTTAAAAGCACTTCAGAGAACATTCTGCAGTATATCTTCTTGAAATATGGCTTTGGAATGACTACTGTTTTTTCTTTTAAGTCAGGGGTGTCTATACCTGATCCTGGAGGGACAGCGTCCTTCAGAGTTTAACTCCAACACATGTCTTCTGAGTCTGAAAAGCTTAATTAACTGGTTCAGGTGTGTTTGATTAGGGCTGGAGCTAAACTCTGCAGGACAGTGGCCCTCCAGGAGCAGGTTTGGACACCCCTGCTAGAAATGTACGTTAAGAATAACTCACTTGCACATGTTCATTATCACCACCCGGTGGAGCTGCAGGTATGGACAAACTCGACACGCTGTTGTCCTCACAGTCTGCCTTGTTCTCAGCTGTGGCAGTGGCGGCAACCTGAGAAAAGTCTGAAGACTCACACTTATCTTCTGTCTCATGGATTACAGGAGGTGCCCTGATGGTCTCATCGGCTGTGATGTCCATGAGCTCCACACACTGTTCACTGGTGTGGTCACTAGTAGAAATGTTCATGTCACATTCACACGGACTGCACTGCTCGGTCTCGTCGCCTCCCACTACGAGTTCTTCTCCAAACTGGTTAGCAACCTCAGAAGCGGATGCAGAGCCTTCATTGGCCTCTTTGGGAACTTCAAGTGAACCGGCTATCACAACCTCTTCTTGAGCTGAAACATCAGTTGAGTCCTTGCAAACGTCAGCAAAATCGACAGGTACTTCAGTGCCAATCTCAGTTGTGACCTCATTGCTATCTTCTCTAATGTTGCTTTCAGTAGCATTTTGCTCCATGCATTCAGTTTCATTTTGCTCGAGAGGGTTTAGATCATCAGCATCAGCATGGGATGGGATTGCATTATCAGTTTCACGAGTAACAGGCTCCCTTGACATGCATTTGACCAGAATCTGAACTTCATTCCCAGGCTGCTCCTGTCGCTCTCGTACGGGTGTATCATCCATTGGGCAAGGGGTTGAGAAGGAGGGCACTGAAACCTCTGACTCAGTAACTCCCTCTTCTTCAACAGAAATTGAGATATCCTTTTTCAAACCGTCACTCGTCATGACCGGCCCTTCATTAGTGATTTCCCCCGCCTCGTTCTCCTGGCTTCCTTCAAACACATTCCCTCTAGTCGGCTGTCCCTTGAGCATCTTCTTCCTTTCTCCAAGCCTGCACATTCCCATCCTCTTTCTTATGTTCCTCTTTACTAGAGGATCTGCAGAACCTGCATCTTCAGGCATCTGGATCTGGTCATACGAGGTCTCCGCTACGATGTCTGAAGACCCCAATTGTTCATCCGTCTTGGGTTCAGTGGCTGTATTCCCCTCATGTGACGATTCTCTCTCGGTCTGATGCTCATCGGATGGTAATTCAGAGTCGCAGTCATCTGGGACCTTCTGAGATTGATGATTTGAATTTCTAGTGATTTCACGCCCTTCATCATCTAGCGCTCTATTGGGCTGATCTACATTAATAGCTTCTGTATTCAAAGGTCTAGAGAGAGTGTGCTTGTCGCTTCTGTCGAGTTCTGGGGTTTGTAGTGGGACCGCTGCAGTTTGTTCAATCTCATGAGAGACCTCAGGTGGATTTGTGCTATCATTATCATGATGGCTTGTTTTCTCTTCCAAGGAACAGCACGGATCTACTGGGAATTCTGTTGTCTGAGTGTCTTGTGATGTGCTCTGTCCAGGCTGATGTTCATCCAGCTTGTCTGAGCACAATGCATTGTGGGAATTGTTGTTTTCTGACTCCGGTGTCAGAGTCTGGACATTAAGGTAAAGAGTTAAGTGAACCAGCAAACGAAAACACAAATATAACAGCACAGTGACATCAAAGCATATTGTAATTCCTTCAAAATGGTATGTTATGGGATGTAATCGAGAGAGAAATCACCTGATTTTCATCTTCAGACTGGTTTGTTGCTTCAGTGCTTTTCTGTCGTTTTGCTCTCTTAGGGGGTTTGAACTCTGCTAAAAGACATTTAACAGCATCAGCATGTTTACTGACAAATTAAATATGTAATATAGCTCTAATCAAGCTGTATGTAGTATGAATGACTGATAATTAAGTTTACATGGGTCCAAGGTACCTGTCGTCTTCGATTTTCTTTTGGCCATTGTCTTGTTTTAGTCCAGATTCAACTAAATGAATAAAAGTTCAAACATGTTAATGCCGCCAGGGCCAAACAGGTAATAAACCAGATGAGAGTCAGGACTGTGTCCAGAATTATACGATGAAGTCAGCATGAAATGGGGGGAAAAATCACCCTATTTATTTTCTAAATGCATGTTATAGATCATATTGTGAACTATTCATCTTTGCATTTTTTTTCTTTATAATGTTTAAAGGGGTCATATGATGCGATTTCAATTTTTCCTTTCTCTTTGGCGTGTTACAAGCTGATTGTGCATAGATAAGATCCCTGAAGTTGCAAAGACTAAAGTCTCAAAACCAAAGAGATATTCTTTATCAAAGTTAAGACTCTGCCACGCCCCCCTAAAACGGCTCGTTCTAACACGCCCCCACATATCTACCTCACTATGTGGAA